AACAGTGGCACAGAACGCGATTTAATTTATATAACCCCGGGGTAGGGAACTCGAGTGGGTTTGGTATTTTAGCAGAAGTGAGCTTTTCCGGGTCGGAAAATGTGTCCGACTTTTTGGAAGCCATAGACAATAAGATAAAATTACTAAAAATACGCAGCGATTTGCCATGTGCTTATTTGAAAGGTCATCTCCGGGGAAGGGCCCGAGATTGGTATCAGATATTCGGATCAGTGTTAGTGCAGGATACCGCCACAGATTTCGCACAGCTAAAAGCAGAATTATAAAAAGCATTCCCTGCCATACGGAATAAGAAAGATTTAAAAACTCGGTTTTATGCGAAGCAGCAGAGAAAACGACAGGAGAGATTAGGATATAAACGATTACGTGGATCTTGGTCAGGTGGACCAGAGAGAAAGATGCAGAAACGTGTAGACCATAAAATAAACAAAAGAAAATTATCGTCAAATAATACTACTAATATTTATATAAGTAGGAAGAGAAACCGAACGTAAGAAGCAGTAGTTCAAGATAGAGAGAGTTATAACTTCAGACCGCGAAAGGAGCAAAGACTGGAGTCCCGACCAACCACGGAGAGGAAGTCAAAACAAGCAAGACCAGTTCGAGCCAGGAACAAGCGATGAGAACACTGCAGACCCTAAATCAAGGAACAAGCAAGATCAAGGAGCAGGAAGACCAACAAAAGAGAAAATCCACATCAAAGCGGCCAGGAAAGGAGAGGAAGAGTGAAGACCAACAATACCTTATCCTTGGAGGTTCTAGTAGGAGACGCCAAGCCATAAAAATCAGGTTGTATCGTTTCATTTTATATTCTTTCCAAAAAGTGTTCGGAAGAATTATTGAAGAGAAGTCTCGGGCGGTGTTTAAAATTTACAATCCAAGCAAAAGTTGACACTACAATGAGTGTATTTTTTTTTTGAACTTTTGACTTGTAAAGTTTTTTCTCAATTGATGGAGAAAACAATTGTAACTATGCATTTGCTTACTTCGATGTATGACTTTGCTGAGATGCAACAATTCCTTTGGTTATTTGTTTTAATGATTTATTGAAAAATCTTTGTAATTGTATAGTGTATATATATATATTGTTGTATTGTTTCATATTAATGTACATCTGGTTCGGGAAAACGCGGCGTAAAAAGGATACTAACAATAACATTAACGGTGCTGCGCGATTTATGGGGAGTTTATTGGAAGGACCAGATGAGGTGTATATATGAAAATTAGTTGTAATTTAAAAGTGATATATAATGTATAAAAATTGTGAAATGTACTGGTATTTTGTGAATATTTATTTTGCCCAGTGACTTAAAGAGTTTTTATTTCAGGGTGACAGACCCTGAATTCCAATTAGGAAAGGACGAATAGAAGTAATTTTTGCAAGCAAATTTTTGTTCTTTCAATATCACTCCAAGTCGTCAGACAAAGGAAACCTCATAGAAAAGCAATGGAAAGAAGCTTATTGTAATATATTATAAGTAGCATTTAAGTAGATTTAAGTTAGTTAAAGGGGCATGTGTGTGTGTGTGCGGACCTCGTTTTTTTTACTCCATCTAAGCCAAAGATGGGTTTTTCCCCGGTCACTCCACTCGGATGACGCATGTCCACATATTTTATGTAAAAGTGAGAATCTACCATGACTGAAATGCATAACTGTTAATTTTGGTCTAGTTAATTGAGTAAAATTTATTGTGGCTGCCAAGAGTTCAAATTAAGGAGGAATATTAAAAATTAAATTTAAGATGAATAATGAAAATTAAAGTTGAAGTTGAATATTGAAAACTAATTGTTAAAATGAGGATTCAAGGTTAAAATTTAAATAAAACTTGGAAAGTGAGGAGATTAAGAAATAAAAATTTAGGCACGTAAATTCTTAAAGGCCATTAAGACCCTCGAATAAATCAGGTTTTGCTTCTTGGAGGGGGTTGTGATGGGATCACGCGTCTTTTCTTTAACATGACCTCTGTGTTCTTTGGGGGCCAAGATTAATGGCAACTTTTTTCCAACCAAAACCCAAGAAGCGAAATGTGAAGAAGAATTGCAAATAAGATAGCTTTTAAATAACAGAAGTTTCAGTAATTCGGATGGCAATTTGGGGAATGTAATGTGTGAAAGTAATACAAGCGAGAATATTGACAGCCATTTGTGAAGTTACCTTGAAGATAAGCTATTAGGTCAAGGTGCATACCATTGCACGCGCGCCCAGACATCTCTCATAAGATTGAAACTAAATTTGGATTAAGGTAGGGTTGATTATTTGATATTAGGACTTGTAATATTATTAGAAGTGAGAGTAGGCGAATTAAGTATTTATAGTGGTTTAACTATTACTTATTACTATTATTATTCGATTTAACTATTACTGTGTGTGTGTGTGTATGTAGATTCTCACCTAAATAATATTATCTAAATTGTTAGACATTTAAGTTTCATTCTTAATAAAGTCATATTAAGAATTAAAAAATGTCTATTTCTTTTGTAAAACCCTACAACTCTAGCTCACGCGGACAATTAAAGAAACGGTCACCTAAGGGGGGCGGTTTCACAAAGAGAAAAGCCTGAACTTTTGTAGTGGAGAATATCGGTTCAATAACACGAAAAAAAAATTCATACGGAACGATTTAGAAATCATTTTCATGAAAACGCATTGATTTTGACTCATTTTAGAAAAAATTGTAAAGAATAGAAAATATCATTATATTTTTTTTAAAAAATTATACCGTTTGCAAGATTGCATCCGAAAAAATTAATGTAATTAATATATTCAGTATTAAAATTCAAAGGTAATCAAACGCATGCGACCATAAGACTAAGTATATCTTCTCACGAACCACACGGCGCAAGACTGGCCAACGGTATCAAAAGATTGGGAATAATCCAAGGTCACAATAAACATGTCTGACAGAGAAAAGAAGCAAAAAAATTTCGAAACAGGGAATTTTAAGTTATACACTCGGTGAAAGCCAGAGCAACGCAGGGCTAAGCGAAGGAGGGGGTGGAAGTCATTTTGAAAAAGAGTATTAGAGGTGCTGATATTGTGAAGGAAAGGGATAATTTATAAGAGTAGAGAATGCCCATGCAACGCCGGGATATAAAGCTAGTATTTTTAACTAATTGCGATATTGGAATATAAACGGTCAAAACATCCAAACTAAACGTGTATACAAAATTTCAGATCAATCGGTTAAAGACATCAGCTTCAAAATTAAGTTGCAAGATTTCACCCGAACATTCTGCTTTGCAAGTTAAATAAAAGCTTGTAAAAATATAGCATACTTTGCACGTATGCTGAGCGGAAGTATTATAAAATATCTCGTTCCACAAATCAAACAAACTTCAAAAATTATTTTACACGGAACAAATAATAATTGGAGGCGCGGGGTATCAATCCCGTAACTCTTGCACGCTAAGAGATCGCTCTAACATCTGAGCTACGCTCCCGGTAGACACCTGTTTTTGTAAATATGCTCACCTTAACATCTGAACAAGATCGTTACAGTAACTAGGTCAATTAAAAGCGTTACGGGAGAAACTAGAATCGAGCAAATAGATATCATAGAATGTTTCAAAGTAAATAGAAACAGCTTGATAGATCTGCCTTTCTTAGTGTTCCCTCTCTAGAACAGTAAAAATCTAACATACTTTGTACTTATGCTGAGTGGGTTAAAATCCTAGGAGAGCCCACACCCTTGGAGACAAACCGAAAAAAACGCCAAGCCAGAATGAGATGGCGCCAAGTGAACCCGACAATGGCGGCAAGTGAATATAGCGGTACAAGGTGGATGCGTAACGAAAATATATGTAAGCAATTCAGAAATTAATGAAATATGTTTAAGATAATAATTTAAAAAACAACACTTACTTTCTTTTTGCTGATCTTTTCCGAGTGGAAGGTACACCGTAACAGCAAATTTTAAAAAAGCCTTGAAGGCCTCATTGCTAAGCAAATGACCGCGGGAGCGCCGCCCCATATATATTCTGCGAGGTAATGGTTGAACATACCCATTCAAATCCATCCAAAACATCACTCTTTCTTTCATATAATCCCATTCAATCATTGTAGTTAGGACATTTATATTATTCAAAGCAATCAGTCCTTCCTTTCTTCATGCACTATTCAATCAATTTTTGATTACCTTTCGCATTCAACAAAGTAAAAAATTCTAAGGTATATTCACTCACACAGGCAACCATACTTCCAGCCCGGTGCCCAACAACGAAATGACAACATTCGAAATACCCGCCGACCATATATAAAAATTCCAGAAATATTCGGTTTAGCCTATGTATATAGTGTATAAAAGTAGGGTTACCAAGACAGCGCAATTATCGCCAATCAAAATAATTTGCCCCAAGGGTGTGGGCTCTCCAAGGACCGAACCTCTGAGTGGAGGTATTGTAAAATATCCCGTTGTACACAAATCAAACGAATTTCAAAAATATTTTAAACGAAAAAGTAATAATTGGAGGCGCGGGGTATCGATCCCCGTATCTCTCGCGTGCTAAGTGAGCCATCTCTACCATTCTCTACCATCTGAGCTACGCCCTCGGTCGACACCGGTGTTATTGTAAACATATATTTTCGCCTTAACACCTGAACAAGACCGTTACAGTGACTAGGTCAATTAAAAGTGTTAGGGGAGAAACTAGAATCGAGTATATAGATATCATAGAATGTTTCAAAGTAAATAGAAATCACTTGATAGATCTGCCTTTCTAACTGTTCCCTCTCTAAAACAGTAAAAGTCTTACATACTTTGTATTTATGCTGAGTGGAAGTATTGTAAAATATCCCGTTGTACAAATCAAACAAATTTCAAAAATATTTTACACGAAAAATTAACAATTGGAGGCACGGGGTATCGATCCCCGTACCTCTCGCATGCTACGTGAGCACTCTACCATCTGAGCTACGCCCCCGGTGCACACCTTTGTTACTGTAAAATTGATCGCCTTAACATCTGAACAAGATCGTTACAGTAACCAGGTCGATATCGGAATATAAATGGTCAAAACATGCATTGTCATCCAAACTAAATGTGTATACAAAATTTCAGCTTAATCGTTTGAAGACATCAGGTTCAAAATTGAATTGCAAGATTCCACCCGAACAAATTACTTTAATTAATATCGTTTTAACTAATTTTGATATCGGAATATAAATGGTCAAACATACATTGTCATCCAAACTAAACGAGTATACAAAATTTCAGCTCAATCGGTTGAAGACATCAGCTTCAAAACTGAGTTGCAAGATTCCACCCGAACATTTTACATTTTGCAAGTTAAATAAAAGCTTTTAAAATGTATCAACTTTAGTAATTCTAATAAACATCGCTCTGTAATCAAAAGATAATAAACCGTATTCTCAAAGTTTTAAATAAGTAAATTTGATAATTGCCAACAACTCATAAGAGATTATCAGAGAAACTCTCAGAGTTTTTATTAAGTTTTAATATACTTATATTTTCTTTAAAGTAAAGCATAAGAGCAAATTATGTTAGTTTACATTCTTACTGTTTTTTTTTAAAAAAAAATGGATTTATTTAAAAGATATGGAATTAGCAAAAATTTGCAAAAAATTTGTCTGATTGAGCATTAAAAGTGATAATCTTATTCTTGGAAACGATAAAAAAAAATAAGCAACTAAACTGGATAAATTATAATATATATTCCTTCTTTCAAAAGTTTATAATAAAATTTACGAATTAAAATTGAATGTTACTTTAAGTGATTTCAAATTTTTGTGATATTTACTTTTTTTTATTTTTGCATTATATTGGCAATAATTCAAATGAGTTTTGAATATTTTATAATTTAAATTCAACATAAATATATTCAATGTAATATAGGTACAAAATGAAGTTTAGAGAGAACCAACCCAAAATTATACAAATTGATAAATAATTCCTTCTGAATAATATGTATATGCAAAATATTATTATTTTTTTTCACAACGCCGGAGTGGCAGCTCCGAAAGTATAGAATAAGTAAGGAAAATTTCAGTTGATTGTTCAGCGTATTAAAAATCTACAAGCATTATTATATCCGAATCATTAATTTAGTTAGGAAATTTTCCGTTTGTTGAGTACCAGAACATTTGACCCTAGTAACTTTTATTTTTATTACATGTAATAAAAAGGCATGTGCATTTTTTAAAAATTTATTTGTTCTTTTTATAAACTAAAATATTTTAATACATTTAAAAATTTCTTACGCTTGGTGGTTTTGTTTGGTACCCAACTTATGGATAAATGCCTTTAGTTTTTCAATGGACGGTAATATGAAACACTAGCTAGTGACAGCTCTATCACAGAATATTGTAAAGATTTCATAAAAAGATTTTGAAAATCAATTAAATTTAATAAATGCTTTATTTGATATTTTTCATTATGTTTTCGACAGAAAGGTCGAATTTCTACTAAAGTGTTTTCTTTGAAAATTTTTAAGATTCTTTATGAATGAACATAGCAACTGAAGTTTATTTTAAATTAAAAAAAAAAGATGGTATTTTGATTCAAAAAGAGTTTCAATTCAACATGTTTAAATAATTTTTAACTTGACGTAATTATGCGTAAAAACATTCAAATAAAAAATGCGGTATTTTTTATAACATTGCATTGTGTACACAAACTTATGTATACAGCGCAGCCAAATTTGCGCAACACAATTTGTTTACAAATAAAACATGTGAGTAATTATCATTTTGTTGCTCTCTTTTGCTATGATATGGAGTCATTTGGCGTAAATTTGGTTGCGGTGACGTAAATAGGTAAGTATCAAAACAACTACTCTAAACTTGAAGGATATAACATGTACATCAATTTTATACTCATGAATTGTGGATAGAAAGCAACTATAAACCTTAAAAACCATTTGTTTATGTTTTCAAATTACGTATTTTTAAGTTTACAAATTACACAGATTTCTCCGAAGGTGGCAACAACCATCGTTTCCAATGCCGATGTGAGTGAATGAATATTAACGTCGCACTATTCAGCTACTCGAGGTATCTGGACATAATTTTGAGCCATGGTCAAATGACGAGGATGACACCTGAGCTGGTACCCCTTTCCTAATTTCCACACCACACTAACGTTGCCAATTCCAGAGGGTCATGACTAGAGGATTTCCTGTAAGTCCATAAGCGGAATTAGACTAAATCTCAGAGATCTTGGGGTAAAAGCTGGGCATTCGAAAACATGTTTTTGTGTGAGCGGTTGAATTTTCGGATATTTTTTACACTGCACGTCAGATCTTGTTTCTTCAGGGTGGATTTTCATGCGTTTTCAGCGATGAGTTCTTAATCTTGTGATTGTGAATGATATGATTTTATTGTGAGTGATTTCTATACGGAATGGGATAAAAGTCTAGATCTGGCCACAGCATTTGCATCAACAAGTGCGATGGTGGTACAAGGTTGACTATGGTCTGTGGCCTCTTTGGCTAAATAAACAGTGAACTCCATTCCTTCGGTATTTATATGTGAAGGTATCAATTATATCACACCGGATTTTTCCTTGTAATTCAGCTGCACGATTAGGAAATTTATGGAGGAAGTGATATTAGTTTCTTCGCTTATGATGGACTCTAAGGAAAATTTAGAATCTGAAAGGGTTATGAATTCTTAAGTAGTATCCGTAGCTTGCGAGTCAATTATGTTTACGTTGAGGGCCCCTCTAATCGGTAAGAGCTCGCTGGTGAAATAAGAGGCGATTACAAAAGTGTTAAAAATGTGTGTTCACGTTTCCTGCCTTCCGGAGGGAGAAGGAGACTTAAGTTTCGCCTTTGTTAAGGGATTTGCTTGAGGAACCGTTGGTGTAGGCAACTGCCAGGTTCTCTTAGGAAAGCTTTTCAATCGTATCAAATCCTTTTCGTTTAAGAGCATTATATCTTCCTTTTTTGAGCAAAGTTGCAGCAGGTTCAAATTAATATTTCCGGGAGGTTTCTTGGAAAGAGTGGCACTTGAAGGAAATCTAAGGAAGAATGTTCCAGATTGATCCGTTTTCTGATATTTCTATCATGAAAGACAGTCGAGGATCTTTTAAACCTATTTCTCGTTTATTTATTGTTATTATTGTTTTGCCGTATATTAAAATTGCTATCATTGTTGCAATGTTTAAAAGAAAATGCAACTGAATTTATACATTTTTCAAGAGATATAGATGGAATTTAAAATGTTAGTTTAAATTTTTTATTTAATGAATGAGGCAATAAGTATTAAAATTCACCCTTAAGATAGAGCATAAATATATGCATCTAATATTCAATATTAAACATTACCCATATATATTAACAAAGAGCCAAGAAGTATAGAAGAGTCCCTTTTCCGTTAAATTGCTTTTAAATAGAATATTGTGGATCAAAATTCATATATTTTACTCATTTCACCGATATTTTCAATTTTGCTTCTTGTTAATTATTTATTTTAGAAATCCAGCACAAATTTGATATTGGCACGCTACTCTTTTTTTTGGCGTGTTTTTTTTAATTGCATCTAATCGCTCTGTAAGGTCAGTCTATCATTATCTTATTGTAATGTCACCCCCTCCACTTGGCAAAAATTTTACAATTCTTTAGGGGGAGGGGAGATCCGCAGCGTACCAATATTAAATTAGTTCCAGGAATTCTCGTCAAAGCTAGATTCTTAACTATTTTTGTTGTAAATATAGTTTTTTTTTATACTTACGTATTATACCATTGATACCAATTCATCAAAGGAAAAGGCATCTCCAAATGTCGTTTTCTGTAACCAATTGTGGAAACTGTTCCCGACATGTTTAAACAGAATAATCTTTTATTTTCTTGAAAACGATGTCAGTATTTGGCGAAATTGGTCTATGTTATGCTACATTTTTTCTTTATGCAGTTGTTTTGAGAAAGTATTTGTATGTTTTACTGATAGTTTCTTTTTTTTATTAACGATCAATTTTGCATATTGAAAAAATGTCAAATGCTGAAACCATTGCTTTTATTCAGTACAAACATGAGTGGGAGCTGAACTATTGGCTGTATATTGCGATATTTGTTGAAATTGCTCGACTTTATAACAAGTAAAGGCCGTTTAACATTATGCTCTAAATGAATACGTATACATATAAATGTGTTTGCGTGTGTGTGTGTATTATGTATAGTTTTACCTCCTCATTATATTGAGTGTACGTCTTCCTCGAGTGAGTGAGTGAGTGAATATTAACGTCATACACTATTCAGCTACACGAGGGCTTTTGGCGACGGACCACGTAATTTTGAACCATGGTCAAGTGACGTGGACGACACCTGAGCTGGCACCCCCTCTCCTAACTACCACACCACACCAACGGGATACGTCTTCCTCGAAAACTGGCCTAAAGTATTAAACACACACGTCGGGGTTATGTTTGATCTCTCTGTGGGTAATAAATGAATAAGAAGAAATATTGTGACCGAATCTGCTTGTTTTCTGACAAATGGGCTGTAAAATGTCCTATTTCTCTTTTAGTTCCTGAACCGTAAAGATCCTCATTGTTCAGCAAGTTGTTCAGAGATAAATGTTTATATCAACAATTG